CGATGATTGCGATTGTCAGCGGGCAGAAAGGCAGGCATCACGCTGCGAGAAAAAAAGCAAAAGACCCCGGGCTGTTGGCTGATGACCGCGTGCGCAAATAGGCTAGGTAAGGTAGGTACGGCACGGATGCTGTGCAGACCGGGTGCTGCCTCGAGGCGGCGAGCTGTTGGTTCGAGCCGCCGATGCAAGACCGTTCGTTACTGCTGACGGGTAGGTTTGCAGTGCAGACTCCGGATTAATGGCAAACCAACGCTCCGTCAAGTGCATCTGCGTAAACTCAACTCAACGGAGTTCGGATTTGACGGCGGCAGGTAGTGTCGTTGGAACTAATTAGGTCCTTTGGGCAATGTTGCCAGTTGGAAGGGAAGCCGTGGCCATAATTAGCCCGCATGATCCAAAAGTTGGCAGACTATCGATATGAGGTGATATCGTGATCTGGCGGGTTAAACTCCCGGCTAAGAGGGATAATCTTCTCAGATTGGGGGTAAAATAAAAATAGAAGCGGACGACGGTTGTTAGCTGGCGTGACTGAATTCTGCGGGTGACAGTAAACAGCTGCAGCGGCTAGACGATGTGACGAGCTGGATGACGCATGGAGAGGTGTGCTCAAATTAGCCCACATGTCAGAGTTGCAAAAGGGCAAATAGTGTGACGCAAAGAGGGTTAATTCGATCACGCACCGTGGGCTGGGCGGCTAATTAGGCCGCCAGAAATAGGACCAGATGTTGAGGATGGGATCATGGATGAGGTTTGTTCCGAGCAAAGCAAGCATGGACGGGTGACGGATGGCCAGACGGTCAGATGAACGGTACCTATCCGTGCTGCGTAAGCAAGCAATGAAAGGTATTAGGGGGGTGAAGATGATCCGAGTATCCCGTCTCGGAAGGGGGTGATGGTGGTACTCCGATGCCGTAGGGCAACGTAGCCAAGTACCTTCGCTCACCGGGCAAGAGTGTCCTGTTGGCGGGAGATCAACATCATCGGCGGACCTTGTCCGACGTGCCTCCTCCAGACAGCAAACTTGCCGTGCGGCGGGCGGCGTACCTGCCAGATGCATAATGTACCCTAAAGAAGGCACCTTAGGTTGTCGTTCGGCAGCACTTGCACGGCACGGAAGGAAGCGGAGAGCAGGAGTAGGAGGGGAAAAAGATGAAGATACGTTGCTATGATTGGCTGATATTCGTGAGGAAAGCACAAAAGCCAGATTCTGGCTGGCAGATGGTGGACAAGCATCCGAGGAACGTGCCATGCGTGCCTTCCGCTGCAGCGATTCTTCTTCCCTACAAGGGCAAGAGCAAGAGCCAAGAGCCAAGAGGGGCAGGAAACATGGAGCTAAGGTGCCTTAGCATATGCGAACCCCGCGAGAAGGTGCCCTGTCACTTGCCGCGCTCCTGCCGCGCATTGGCCAAAGCTCTACCCCCACCCGACAGACTAGCTGGGGGGTCCCTGACCAATATTCCTGCACGATCTTCTCGCTTGCAGCAGACAATAGCCAATCCGGGGCCGTAGCGGACCTCTCGCAAGAGCTTAAATCCCTGCGACATCACAAGCGCTAATAAACGGTTGGTCCCGAAGCCCTGCACGAGACGACAAGTCGTCACACCTGTCTGTCGAATCAACGTCTGCGCCAGCCCTTTTGACAAAGGAACCTCGACTGCACCGACAATGACGCTAACAACGTGCCTCTGTCGGGCTGTCCAAGCAAAGAGGTGGCAGGTACTGGAGATTGGAGAGGGAAAAAGAAACGGAGAGCAAATACCTCAACGAAGTAGCACCTACCATCGGGAGGATGAGTAGCCAGCCGCAACCTTGTCCTTGTGCCTTTCTGCAGCCGTTATTCGCAACGACTATGGAGCACAGTAGGCAAGAAGCAAAGAAATCCTTACGGCTCTGGCGGAGCGGAGCACCTTGCACGACATCTCCCGCGGTGCCATGATACCCCCTTGCTTGCTGCACCTGCCACCACTTTCGGCTGTAGTTGGGTATCGAGGCTCAAGTACCGGCCTCGACGTCTTCCACTCTCCATCAAACCCACTCACCCATCTTTGGAGATGGATACTCGCCTCACTCGCCTATCCTTCCCACGATCCGAGGTATTTTCACTCTCTTGTTTATCTACGGATAGGCCAACTACACCAAGCACAAACCCACTGCTGACAGGCTACAGACTACAGGATACAGCAACGTACCCCTGAACTTCTCGCCATGCACGACAGAAAGTCCCAGTTCCACCGTATCAACTCCGGCAGCCACATTCGACCGACATTGAGTGGCCGTTTGGACCATCCAATCCGAGAGCTGACCGCCATTCTCGGCCTTCTTATTTGTGGATGCTCCTCAGAAGACCCTGTCTCGATCGGTCCAGTCCAAGTCTTGAAGAAGACCATGAGGCAAGATGAGGTCCAGCATCGCTCTCGCCAGAGTCGGAAACCTATTGCCAAAGTAGCAAACACTTCGGGACCTAATTCGACGGGGCTTGAACTTTCACTCAGCATGGGTCTTCGGAGAACCAACAGCAACGAAGATCATTCCCAGAAAATGATCAGGCTGATTGCCATATTTGATGCCATTCAACGGGGGGCTCCAGCGGTTGACTAGTCATGTCCCGCTCATGGCTATCCATCATGCAACCATGAAGCGAGGCTCCTCACATGGGATGATCGGATGAATCCACCGCGTTTGTCAGACACAGGGCTAACCTCACCAAAAAAGGTTGACAGGCCCCCCCCATACCCATGTTAGCCCGTAGGTTCTTGCCCAGCTCTCACTTCTGGCTCTACGAATGCCTACGGTAGTATTTGAATGATGAGCCCCACAAGCTCAGCGAACTGTGTTGGTGGTTGGCAAGCTTCATGCAAGTACTCCATACGTGCGATCCTAGGACAGAGCTTGTTAGTGGGAGAAGTGATCCACGACCAATTATCTTTTGCAAGGGGGAGCCCGGCCAACTGTAGCTCTGCTCATTGCTTGGTCATCTGTCGGCCCCCGAAATCCTCTACTCAAATCGTGCCATCGAAGGCCAGCTTGGCGGCCGAGGGGAACCATCTATCGATAGTACTTGATGCCGGAGTCGGTGCAACGTATACAAGATAGATCGAGGCCATACAGATACTCCATACGGATACTAATTTGTGTTTCTGCAGCTCCGGCTGCGCAACGGACTCCCGCGGGGTGAACTCGCATCCGGGCGAACTGCTATTCGCAGCATCAAGTTTCCCCTTCCAGTCGTTATTGAAGATCAACATCTGCACCGGTCAGGGCCCGGGCGACATAGTCGACGCGGTATCGACGGCGGGCAGCCGGAGAGGCATATGGCCGGATGGGGCACAACTCGATAGCAGGTTGGCAAGTCGGGTTGGGCAAACAAGAGGCGGGCCCCATGTGGTTCTGCATGTCTCTGCGTAGCGTGGTGACCAGGTAGTTGAAGGTGTGCTTGGCACCTTGGTCCCCATGGCCTGCCATCCAGAGCCAGCCATCGCAAGCCACCGTATGCATGCGTTGCCCGTTCAATCGCTCGACAGCTGCTCACACCCATGTCGTCCATCTCGAAGCTGCCCCCCCTCTCGACGCGGAAGTGTCCATTCCTATTCTATTCTCGGGTGGGGTCCAACAATGAGTGCGACCGCCTTTGGCGGCCCATTCTCATTGGAGCCCGTAAGCGCAGGTCAAAGTCTCACGCACTCGATGTGAAGGCGGCCACCCGGCCTGCCTTGTGCCCTAGCCTACGTTTAGTCTAGAATGCAGAGCAGACACACACACACTCACGGCTCGGGGACGATGGAGACACACATACATAGGTGTATCCAAATTTAGAACAATATTGATGTTGGCTACGTAGCGAACACCAGGCAGACCACTCAAAGGCCCGTTGGTTGGCGCAACAAGAGGACGGTCATGATGAAGGCGGCCACGATATAAGACTTTGGACCATCCATCACGAACAGTTGGATTCTGGCCTCCTCTCGTTGTTGATCTGTAGAAGTCAAGCAGAAGAAGAAGAAGGAAAAGTGATCCAAGTGTTTGTTCAAGGTTTTTTTCTCTCTCATTCATACAATTGTTTTTTGATACCCTCCGTCCACAATCTTCGGAAACCCCCAACCACTCCAATACCACCCGATAATCCAGTTCAAGGCAAGCCGGACTTGCTAAACAACCAGTCACTCATTCGACACCACCAAAACGAAAAAAACTCCACAGTCGACCACTCTCGATATATTTGCAATTTTACAACTTGCAGCGCGCCCATTGCTTACAGTTCACGAAACGAGATCGAATTTTCTGTTGCATTTTGAACGACAAGGAAGAAAGAAATAATTCAATAATCTGATACGATTTGGAACCTTGGGTTTCTGGAAACTCGACAAACCATTCGACAAACAGCCCGGTCTCCCATCTCAAACTGCGTTGACAGCGGGCGAGCGAACAGACGTTTCCTGACCACCGAGTCCCCCTCGTCGAGTTCCCCCCTCTCCAATATCGATCCCAGGTTGTCCCCGCCTTTTTTTTTCTCACTCTTGGCTATCAGGGAAGAAAGAGAAGCGAGAGAGCACAGAGGAACGAAGACTCCTTCACCCAGCACACACACGCGCACACAGCACACACAAACCAGAAGAAAAAGAGGAGAAGACAACGCGCGCACTCGCATCGCACTCTTACACCCCCCCGGACCCCTGGTCGTTCTTTCCCCGGTCCAGAGCACAGTGTCGGTCGCTTCCGTCTCTACACAGTGTAACGGTTCCTGCCACGCCCCTCCACCTGTCGACCCTGGTCCCTGATCACCCTCGGTCCACCACACATTCACACACCCTTCACCACACCCCTCCCTCCCTCCTCTCTCTCTCTCCTCCGCCCCAGCCAGCCAGCTCTAGCTCTGTCTTCGCTGCTCGGCTTGTCATTCACACGCAGGTACCTCCACCGCGAACAGAAGAAGGGTACAAATGGCATCTCTACCCCCCAACCACATTCGAGACGACTTCATGAGATCAACAGCTGCAGTCAACATGGCCGTCGCATCTTCTGCGAAGGCCAAGTCGGCCTGCAAAGCCAACACCAACAACAGCAACAATGCCAGCTCCAAGGCAAAGTCACAAATGCACCGCCGTTCAAGGACAGGTACGTTCATCCCAAGAATTCCCTTGCCTCTCTGCCGTCTTTTCCCCAAATTCCCATCCCATTCACCCATGGTATTAGCCATGTTTGACTTACACCAATATTCCAATCTCACTTATACGGGAGCGACTTTCCCTCATCCACCCCAGAAATACTTCCCTCGATCGTCAAACCTCCTCATTTGAACACTTGAGACTAATTGGGGTTTCTACAGGATGCTACACCTGCAGATTGCGCCGCAAGAAGTGCGACGAGGGCTCGCCAATGTGCTCCGCTTGCAAACATCTTGGTTTGACATGCGAATACAAGCGCCCAATGTGGTGGAGCAACAACGATGCCCGCCGCAAGCACAAGGACGACATCAAGATGATTATCAAGCGCAAGAAGCTCTCGGAAAAGGCGTCGCACACAATTCAGACTTCCGTCGGCTCTCCTCCCGGCCTGTCGCACTCTCTGCCCACCTCTGCTACCTTCTCCGACCCTCTAGACCGCACTCGCTCCGCCTCCATCGACTCGCACTTTTCCCAGGCTTTCAACTTCAACAGCCCGCCAACTGTCGGTGCCGAGTATGCTGCCTACAACCCCCAGATGCACCCCGACTTCATGTTCGGTGGCTTTCCCTCGCCTTACGAGATTGACGTCAAGACTGAACGCCAGGTCTACATGAACGATGTGCCCACTCTGAGGGAGTCGACCATTTCCACCTTTAGCACCTACCACACTCCCCCACCCCCGGGAACCATCCTGCCTTCCTCTGTGCCCCTCGACGGCGAGTGGACCGAGCAGATCTACTCTGAGCGTAAGGAGTCCCTCAGCGAGGAGGCTCTCAACGTCAACTTCTTCGACTTCTCTCATGGCCCGGCCATGTCCAACCGCCAGGTCGCAGTTGAGCTTGATGAGAACGACCAGCGCCTGCTGGACCACTTTATCCAATTCGTCCTGCCCACCATCTTCCCCATTCTCGACTCCAACCAACATGGCTCAGTCGGCTCCGATCTGATCTTGCCGGCTCTGCAGAGCAACAAGGGTTACCTGCACTGCTGCCTGAGCATCGCCGCCCAGCACTACAAGGCAACCATGAACGTCCCCGGAGAGGAAATTGACCAGGACATTATGCGCCATCGATACGCCACCATCTCGTCTCTTTGTGACGCTCTGAACAAGGACGAGAACCATCAGGAGATTCTCGAGGCTGCTTTGGGTCTCATCTTCTTCCAGTGTGTCGTCGGTCGCTTCGACGATGCACTGCCCGACATCCCTTGGCACCAGCACTTCCAAGCTGCCATCAGCTTGGTCCAGAAGCTTGACCTCCCCCGCCTGGTGTCGGACCCCAATGAGCAGATGACTCAAACTCCCTTCAACATGACTTTGACCTCCTGGATTGATATCCTCGGCGCCACCATGCAGGGACAAGCACCGACCTTCGCTCACACCTACCGTGAGAAGCACCTGTCAAACAACCCCAGCCTGGGTCTTCGCGAGCTCATGGGTTGCGATGACCGTGTCATGTACCTCATCTCTGAGATCGCCTGCCTCGAAGCTCTCAAGGGAAGCGGCATGGACGACATTACTCTTTGCCAACACGTCCATGCACTTGGTGACCAGATCAACCTCACCGAGATTGGCGAGCCTGGTCCCAAGATGCCTTACAACAATAATGGAAGCCTTTCCCCTAAGCAGCTTTCCAAGAACATGACAGCCGCATTCCGCCTTGCCGCTCGCATTTACCTTTGCAGCTTGGTACCCGGCTTCAATCCCGCGCAGGCTTCCTGCGTCGGCTTGGTTGAGAAGCTTGCCAACGTTCTCCAACTCATCCCCTCGGGACCTGGAGGCTTCGACCGCAGTCTCGTCTGGGTGTACCTCGTTGGCGGCTCTGTCAGCTTGCCTGGCAGCTCTTTCCGCGCCCTCTTTGAGGACCGCGTTGCCCAGCTTGGCGATGTCTCTGACTGCGGCTCTTTCGGTCGCGTCGCCTCCCTCCTCAACGAAGTATGGATGCAGACAGGCAACATCAAGAGCAGTGACAGCTGCGCCGGCAGCCCTGGTTCCACGCAAGGAGCTGAGGCGGTAGCATACATCCACTGGAGGGATGTCATGCAGATGAAGGGCTGGGACTTCTTGCTCATCTAGCATCCTGGCTGGTTCCGGGTTGTATAGATATGTGCAGAAGGCTCGTCTTCCATCTGCATGGTGTGTATACCGCCTCCGCAAAGGTGATTCAGGCAATCGCTTATTCCCTTTCACGCAACCAGGGCTGCTTGGCAGCCTGTCTTGCACTGCTGGACACTTTAGAATCTTCTCTTCTGATTTTCCCCATTTTGATACCACATTTTTCTACATTTACACCAACCTACTCAAAGGTTACTTTGGGTTTACTAGAAGGACACGCCGCAAGGCACACGGAGCGGACATGAACGATGAGAGCGAAGACACTTGGATCACACTTTTTACTTTTCTTCTGACTAGACACTTTCACGGGTGAGGGTGCACGGGGCAGCTGGGCCTGGCTGCCAGGATGATGGATGATGACGATGGATGATGGGAAAGGGACCGCCTGGATGAGGCCCTGGAACATGCAATGGAAACATGAGATGCGACGAACGACTATTCCTCATTTATTCGGACGGAACACACTTTCGTCTGATATCTCGGTTTTTCTTTCCTCTCTTGGGTAAACCATAGCATGAGCACGGGAAACGGGCTTCATCGGAGTTTATGTTTGGGACTTTGGGACTAGCATTTCGGTGCATCTGGACTGGATCGGATGGATCAAAGAGAAGGGCTCTGGGAGCTGCGATGGGCTAGCTTCCCAGTTGACTTCTTCACACGGTACTCATTCGATAGCCCTTTACTCTCTACGGAGCAGTTGGCAGAATCGAGCAGGATTATAGGAATCATGTAATACCAAAACATTATACCCAACAATTTCAAAAGCAATACTTTCAAATCATACCTTACTTTTTTTCTTTCCTGCGAAGCGCTTTGAGAACTGCGAAGAATTCCCTCACAGGTGGTGCGCACCAGCCGAGTCCGAGATTTGTCTAGGCCGATCTATGCCAGGGGTGGGGGGTTGGAACTTGGAAAAGTACACAGTAAGGTACGGATAAGGTAAGTAAGTTAAGGTGGGAAAGTTCTCCGGCTTACTTGCAATGGGTGTGGTGATAACCACCACCTTCCCCCCTTGGAAGTACTTGGGCCGAAGCTTACGCGCAAATGGCATGATGGGGGGAGGGTGGCGTCAAACAGGACTGACGGACGAGAGGAATTGATTACTGGATGAATTGAACATATGAGAGAGAGAGAGAGAGAGAGAGAAGGAGAACAGTGATGGGAGGGTTTCCTTTAGGGACTGGGAAGCAAAGAGGGGGGAAGGTGGGAGGTGAAGATGCAAGTTGCCGATTGAGGGTAGTACACAAAGGGCACTGTAACGCATGTTTGCTTAGGGTAAGGCACCTTAGGTGCAATACAGTGTCTTCTTTGGAAGCCGATTGAAGCATGTGCGGGAGGATGCGGATGTTTGGATGCGATGGACATTGGGTAGGTAATTGGCTCTGTGGGGTGGTCATGAGGTGCATAGATTCAAAGATTTTTCCCAATGAGATGGACAGAGAGCTTGTTCTTTCTCATAGTGGGCTACCTATAATACTATTCAACGCACTATAGTACACCTAACTCGCTTGAGTGTACAGACGCGGTAGCGCCATCTTTTCTTCGGTCCTTTCTCTTCTTCGTCAATGGAGGTTGTTCTTGCGATGCCGGAGGGTTTTGGTGGCTAGGAAGAGAGGGGGGGTAAAAGTATGGTGGGAGGTTTGGAGGGGTAAAGAGGTCGCACGAGCCGGTAGGTGGTGTTTGTACGTGCGGTGCCCTGGGGCTTGTGTATCCATGTTTCCCTCTCAAAGTGCTGTGGTAGGTATCGAGGTCGTGGGAGAGTAAAGTCACCACCCTTTGTGAGGTGTTTTCCTCGGTAAGGTAGCGGTGAAGGTTGGGCTTGGCTCGGTGAGCTTTGGCCCGGTGTGCGGCGGGGTGTTTGACTACTCCGAGGTGAGGTAGCTAGGGCGGTGCCCTGCAGGGTGTATGGTTCCAAGGTGAGCTCACCTGACGTCCATCCTCGGTCTGTGTGGCTTGTCTTTGGCCGGGATCACGAATTGGGTAATCCCGTTCTTCCTCCCCCACACCGAGGTACTTGGGTTTGGGTTCGGGTTGATCACGAAAGAAGAGGGAGGGAGGGAGGGAGGGTGAGGGAAGAGAAAGATCTGAGATCGTGAGGATCACCGACGTCAGAGGTGAACAGGGTCGTTTGTTCAGAGTGCTGACGATATGATGAGAAACCTAGTATAGAAAGAAGGGTTGATTGGAGACTATGGGGGCTGGGGACATCGGGAATGTGGACACCGAGTTTGCTGGTTCTGCAAGAACCCCATCGCCATGGGAGAAGAGAATAACGTCAAGTCACCTGGGGCCCATGGCATCCCATTCCTTTGTGTGTGTTCATGGTTCGCTACCTTACTGTGCAATGGGGGTGTACGTTTGTAAAACAATTCCGCTGGGGGTGTTTTGAGGACCACCTCACAGTATCGAGTTAACTGTGGTCTCGAGATTCTGTTCACACGGGCTTTTGATATCGAGTCTCAATTGTTCAGATTACACACCCCTCTGTCCATCCATCTACTGACGAAAGGGAGAGAGGTTTTGGGATCATGCGGGGGACTTACGTCTGGCAAGGAAGGAAAAAGAGACAGGGGAAGAGAGATAGGTCTCAGATGACGGAAAGCGAGATTCACCAAGCTTAAGCGCCAACCACTTGCAAATCCCGAACCCGTACCCGTTCCCCACGATTTCGGGGGACCGTTCACCGCCGTTTTTGAGTCACAGAACACACTCAAGATACGGAGTACGCACGCATATTCGTATATGTGTGTGAATCACCGTGAATTGGCGAAAATGGAGTGGTCCCCTTGGGGGTTGGTTGATTCTCGGCGCCGATATCGTCTTTGGGGGGGGGGGGGTGGCCCGAGATTGGTGTATCAATTAGCGTAGTACGAAAACAAGGAAATTCAACCAAGTATCCACGTGACGACGGTGTCTGTGGTTTGCGATTTGCCCTTTCTCCCTTGCATGGGGCTTAAAACCTTGAAAAGCTGGGATTAAAAGTCGTTCCCTCATTCCTCTCTCTGCCTCACTCTCTCTCTTTCTATTTGCCGGGGGCCCTGCAGCGGATGAGACCACGGGATCGGACGTGCGTGGAATTCTTCGAGAGAGGTTCTGAGCGAATCCTGTACCGTCACGTGGATTTTGGGGGTGGGGGGGGGGGTATCCGGTAGAAGTGCGAGGTTGGCGAACGAGGTTGTTCCCGCCGGAGGGGCGATGGTGGAAAAAAAAAAAAAAAAAAAAAGTACGAGCATGGGCAGAAACATGGCAATCATGGCAAGGCATTTTTTGCTGCTCGTAGATCATTTGATTGGAGTGGATGAGGGGGTATCGGGTCGGAATGGGGACCGCCGTTGTGGTGGATCATCATGGGCTTTTCGGGCGAACCCTGGGACTTGTGGCCGACACGACTTACACGCTCACCGACGGCGACGGCGAAGATTGACGGGGGGGTTTTGACGATGGTATCATGTGCGGAAGTTGACAATATCAAGTATTCACGGGCACACCCCTCCCCCTTGGTGAGCTGAAGCGAGAAGGACGACGACGATGGTGATGCTGCCTGGTACTATAGTGTAGGCCAAGGCTAATTTTTGGCCCGTGGACGTGGTAATGGTCCCCGGTTTCCTCCATTGCAAGATGGGAGGGCACGGCTCTTGACTGGAGGCTCGTCGTATGCCGGGTGCCGATCGGTCAAAAGATGAGGCTTTCGCGAGGCGGTCCTGTGACCCATATTGTGAGGGAACGTGAGGGAGCCGATGCATGGCAAGCAGAGCGGCAGGCGTATAAGCCTATGAGGTAAAACCAAGGTACGGGAATAGCGGCTTCGGTGGCTTCAGTGGCTGCAGTGGCTGCAGTGGCTGGAACAAATGGCGTACGTCACGTGTGGCTTGTACGGGCCCAGTGGCGGGCCATTGAAGGTTGTCATTGGGATTTCGAGGCTAAATATTTTCGGTCAATGTCCATGCCATGTCTTGAACCCTTGTTTTCCTTTAGTGAGGTCAAGGGTTGAGTCTCAATCCCTACGCACCACGAGTCTTCCTTGGTGTTGGCTACTTTACCTAGTTGCTTAGCACCTACGCTGTAAGATACTGGACAGTGCCCATGGATGGGATAGAGCGGTTAGAGGCGGACGACCCAAAAAAGTACAAAGTACCTGGATCTTTGCTGAAAAGAGAATGGGGCCTTGAAGGGAAAGGACGGACGCTAACAGCAATGGAGCGGCCCAGCGGCCCCGGTTGTCTCCACTTTTCAGCGTCCGCCACCCCGGGCGCCTTTGACGCAGGGGCCACCCCTAAAGTCGGGGCCGCAATCGCCAGGAACGAATCATAGGCGCGCGTTTCGGCTGCGCGGCTACATTCTGGCACTTTGGATGACTCCTTTAGGAAATTCTATTCTTTGACTGGGCGACTCGCCAACCGCTCACAACCTCTCATTCTGCTTCAACCCTTCAACCCCTTCCTTCACCACGGACCCTTCAACCACCAAGGGGACTGGAAAGTCCCCACTACCAAAGAGACATACTCCAACGACAGCCTCTCATTGTCGCCGGCCCAGCGACTACCCAGACCAGCACTGCCTCACGGCGAGACTCTCTGCCGCCCAACGTTGCCATCTATCTGCTGTCGTCGCTACTCATTTGCTAATTATTGATATCCGCCAATGGTTTTCAAGCCTTTTTGGGGGCAGGGGGCTGTGAGGTTTAAATTTTGACCGCTGATGCCCTATCATACTCTCTCATGATGGGAAAAGCTCGGGGGCCTTTGTCTTCCGCGTCTACATGGTGACACTGGAGACGTCCAGAGTTCGCAACACCATAGCTCCACCAGTTTTTCACGCCCGCTGCGATCCAGTCGCGCTTGCAGAGCCCAAGGTAATCTTTGCAAAGCAGGAGCCCCCCCCCCCCCCCCCTTCGTAGACCCTCGTGAGTCGCCGCGATGCCACTCGGGGGCTACTTGGTTGGCCACCGACCAGCCGGCCTT